TTTCCTGTAGTCTTGTTAAAACAAAACTATCACATATTCAGGTCTAGTTAAATGTTCACAATGAAAATCAAAACATTTTGAAGTACTATGAAACAAAGAACTTACTAACGTATGATTTCATACAAGCTAAAAGTTTCTACATATCCTCTTCTATTCAATAATGTTCTGAATTATACACTGTAAGACTTGTAATAAAGGAAAAGCTACCCAATCAGTCCTGAAAAGAAAAAGGAGACTTAAAACTCTTAATCAACATGCATTGCCAAATCAAGAAAATCATTAGCTAAGCAAAGCATTCTATTCTAGCTAAATTATTTATAGCTGAAATTTCATTTTTGAAGATTTTGAATTATTTTTATGAAGATGTTAATATAAGACCAGTTTCATTTCAAAAGCAAAATAAGGAAAAAGTAACAGAACTATCTCTGCTTTGTATAAATCTAGTTTCATCACAAGTCCATTTCAACATGAAAGCTTCAAAAGTCAAGGAGGAGTCAGTCCACTGCAAACCTAGTGCTGGAACACATTATTAACTTCCATATTACAAATCTGTAATAAAAATCAAATAAAAAATAAAATCACAGCAAGCCATTATATACAAAAACCAAACTCACTACCATAGAGTTGATTTTGACTCCTTGGGTTTCCAAGGCGGTAAATCTTTATGGAAGTAGATCACCCCATCTTCCTTCCATGGAGCAGGTGGTGGGTTTGAACCACCAACCTTCTGGTTAGCAGTCAAATGCCTTAGGTACTACACCACCAGAGCGCCAACCATTATATAGGACATGATTATCCATGACAAGTCATATGAGAACAAAACTGGTTTTCCTAGCACTGTTACTGTATCTTCATTAGAAGATGGAAGTAGTGAAAAAGTAAACAGTGAATCATGATTTGGTTCCAGTAATCTGAACAGCTCAAAATTCTCTATATTGGTTAGGGGAGTAGCCCAAATTCCAAAAGCGGTCAAATTCTTCAGTGAATTTTACGAGCAAAACTTAAAAAATGAAAGAAGATGGAAAAAAATGTAAAGGCCATTTCATTCATCTAAAATTGTTGAGGGACAATTTTAAAATAAAGCAGAAAAAAATCCATAATCTATAAATAAGAATTTTCTTTCTCCTTTTCACAACATCATAGAAACATCAATTTGCTCCCTTCTGGGGGATAATAATGTCTATGTGTTGTTGTCTTTATGTGCCGTCAAGTCAGACC